TGCAGTCCAGATCTTTCACCTATAGAGAACATTTGGCGCATCATAAAGAGGAAGGTGCGACAAAGAAGGCCCAAGACGATTGAACAGTTAGAGGCCTGTATTAGACATGAATGGGAGAGCATTCCTATTTCTAAACTTGAGAAACTGGTCTCCTCTGTCCCCAGACGTCTATTGAGTGTTGTAAGAAGAAGGGGGGATGCCACACAGTGGTAAAAATGGACTTGTCCCAACTCTTTTGGGGATTTGTTGACGCCATGAAATTTGGAAACAACAGGTTTTTCCCTTAAAATGATACATTCTCTCAGTTTAAACTTTTGATCTGTGATTTGTGTTCTATTCTGAATAAAATATTAGATGTTGGCACCTCCACATCATTGCATTCAGTTTTTATTCACAATATGTTTAGTGTCCCAACTTTTTTGGAATCCAGTTTGTATTTCATCGAGCAACTGCACAAAACTATGTGGTCCACTTTAACTTCTGCATTTTCAGATCTTCTTGTGGAGCAAGCGTTCCGTCATGCTTGTATGTTTCTGCTCAAGAGAAGCTAAAACCCTCTGTGTCAGCCTGAGCCCTGTTTTAGCTAATTTAATTATCAGCTATGAAAATTAAGCTTTAAAACAGTTGGTTTAGTGCACTGGGGTAACCACATGGACACAAACAAGAAGACAAGAACATAAATGAAATGCGTGCATTTGTGTAAGTGAAAACAGATTTTATGCTCATTTTGCGTTTCCTGCAGCCAAAGAATGCACACAAATTGTTTTCAACCACAAAGTAATTTGCACACAGCAACATAAATTGTCTTTTTTTCCTCGAGGATGAAGTTAAATTTCTATTTAATGACATATCAGCATTGATTAGAGATCACCTACAGCAGTTTTTCTGATTAAGCTAAATTGTTCTGTTTGAGGGGCAGCACGGTGGTGCAACTGGTAGAGCTGCTGCCTCTCAGCGAGCAGGTCCTTGGTTCAAACCCCGGTCCAGGGGCCTTTCTGGGTGGAGTTTGCATGTTCTCTCCGTGCATGCGTAGGTTTTCTCCGGGTGCTCCGGTTTCCTCCCACAGTCCAAAAACATGCATGTTAGGCTGATTGGTAACTCTGAATTGTCCCTAGGTGTGAGTGAGAGAGTGAATGGTTGTTTGTCTCCTTTGTCTCTATGTGGCCCTGTGATGGACTTGCGACCCGTCCAGGGTGTACCCCGCCCCTCTCACAGTGATTGCTGGACATGGGCACCAGCGACCCCCGTGACCCAAAATGGAATAAGCGGATAAAGATAATGGATGGATGGATGTTCTGTTTGAGTTGTTGCAGGCTTTGGCAACTCTGACCACCGCCACACCAATGTGTCAAAACACACCCTCATTTAACACTCAAACAAATGACTAAAGTGACATCTTAATTTCAACTTTATTTCATCTGCGACAACAATAGGTGTGAAGCTTGACCACTGAAAGTGTCTGCTCTTTCAGGTCCTTTTCTGTATGAAGCAGTACCTCCTTAAATTAGGCCTTGAGCTCCTCTTCTTCTTTCAGCTCCTTTTGCTTTAGTAAGAATTCAAGCCGAGCCTGTCGTTTCCCAGATAAGTCTAGAAAAAGTATCACTTTCACATCTTTTTCAATTTTTACCCCAAACCCCTCCATCTAATCCTTCCTTTCTACATGTCAGCACTCCTCAGTTTTATATAAGCACTCTAAACACCTCCCGGCTGCTGCTCACGTTAATCAGTGTTAATTTAAAGCATGTGGGAAATTATTTTAAGAAAATCGAAGGAAGTGCTTTACAGAAGTAATCTTGGTTGGTTGTTCTCTTCACCCTTTCTGCTAAATTGGATAAAAATGTCTCCTTTCACTTCTTCAAATTGAGCTATGTATCGCACCTCCATCTGTCAGTAAAGCAGCTGCTCAGCTCAACACAACCAGAAACCAATTTTCAAGACTCAGTTCTGTATTAAACCTTCAGACACAAGTTATTTTGTAAAAGTGAGTGTCTTTTTTGGTATTTCGGAGTTTAAGCTCTTGTTTATCAAATCCAGAAAGAAACTTTGTGCTGATTTGAGTGGCGAAAGATGGACAAGCTGACTTACTTTAAGAACAAAGCAGAAGTCAGTCGGAGCTTTGTATCTGTTCTTCACATCTTTCCCAAAGTAAACGTTCACGTTGTCAAACTGGACGAAGCAGACGAGGTCACGAGATGACTGAAAAGACATAAAGGAGGATTTTATTACGAAATGTAACACATCTAGTTCACTGCAAGGATTACCAAGGCTATATATAAGATCTTTAATGATAAGAAATGCAACCAACAGAGGTTAAAACTGAAGTAAAGAATTGTCAGAACAGCAGAAACACAGAAAAGGTTTGTATATTTTGATATGGTTTCATTTGACATTTAAAATAATATCTGTAAATCTGCTGGACTTTCATCCTTTTGAGGTGCTTCTGAATGAAAGCATTCGATTTGTGTTTATGGTTTATTTTCCACCTCCATCTGACCTTGGTCTTCCCTTTGGGAACATAATAAATTCCTGAAGCTCTGAGCTGGAAGAGCCGCTGCTTCCACGACTTTTTGCCATCCTCTTTGAGGTGCAGCACTCCCTCCAGATCAGGTACGATGATGGACGTGCTGCAGAAGTTCTCCTGCAGACGTGAGAAATGAGGAACGAAGGGAGCCATGGTTTCGCTCACAGGATGTGTGAAAACTTGCTTCTTTACCTTTATCAACAGTTCTTTGTCTTTGTCTTTCATGTCTTTGAGAGTTTTCTTATCTTTTTTCCAAAGATAAAAGTTCTGCAAAAATAAAAACCTGCATTAATGGGGACAAACGTACGCGTTAAGCCTCTTTAAATGACGTATTGCTGATTGTTGAGTGCAGAGAGATGAACAACTTTGAATAAACAAACAGAAAATAGCTGCCTGGTATTTGTTGAGTTTTGCCATTAAGACTTGCTCAGTTTGAGTCTAAACTCAAGGTCAAGGTTTTGTGCTCGACATGGATCAAAACTTGTACTGTATATCTTGATTTTGTAAATGATTACCATATTTTTCGCTGTATAAGTCACACTTTTTTTGCATAAATTTGCACGTCCTGCGACTAATATACCAAAACGACTAAAATACATTTTTCCCCATTTCTATAATCTAATTTTTGGCTGAGATCTGACAATTTCATTCATTCTGACATGGAAAATATTGAACACTACCATTTTCAGCCACTAGAGGGCCCTCAACATCGTATTATATCTGCCCCTTATATGGCAAGCCAAGTGTCTCATTAATAGGTAAAAGTGGCTATTAATGAGACACTTGGTTTGCCATACAAGGTCACCTTCATCTCGCTCCAGAACTCTTGGAGCAAACGTCAAATCAGCTGCATTTCGCCGCGACGCCCAGGTGAAATGCAGCGGATTTGACTGTTAAAGTGCATTTATTAAGGAAAAAAACTGAGACATATCTTTGCTATAATGTCGAGCAAACAAATAATTGTTTTTAAGTGTTAATCTTGTAAAATGTGCACAGCGAGCACATGCACGTTTCCGCAGCCGCCATTTGGCAGTCAATCGATTTTTGGCACAACACCAGTCCACATTTCCGGATGATCAGCGGTGACACTTAACAGATGCGACTTATATGGCGAAGCGACTTATTTATGTTTTTTCCACTTTATTACACATAATTGAACTGATGAGACATATATGGCGGAAAGTACCGTATAAATAATTTAAATACTGAATAATGCCACATGACCTTATCTTTTAGCATCAGGAGCAGAACCACGTCACTTTTCAAACAGTCCAAAAAGTCTTCCATGTTAACTTCCGTCTCTGCGGGCCTGGGATACAATGATTTTATTTATTACTAAGCCTTTGTTTCATCAAAGGAAAAACCCAGGAGGAAAACCAATGTGGACGTGCCTGTCAAAAGTTAAAGATGTAGATTCATAGAGACATTCTGTAAAAGAAGCAACAGATTTGTCTTTTGTTGGAGTTAGTGATGGAGTACCCCACCACTCTTTGTCTCTGCCAACAGACTGAACCCATTAAATACTTTGAGACGTGTTTCATTATTACAACAAACATGCCAAGATCCTGCTGGCCTGGAGCTGTTCTGTCTGATATATTGCAGCAACATTAATGTGAGGTCAGTCAGAGGGAAGCGATCTCATAATTCAGCAAAGAAAAGAGCCAGTTGAGCGGTGACGATGTGAAGATGGATTTACAAAAACCCAGGCCGAGATTTAGGACTTGTGTTTTCATGTGTCTGATGGCTCAGAGATGACGATGGTCCGCGTTTTCTCATGGAGGGACCAACCTGAGGGTTTCTGAAGACCTCAAACTTGGCTTTTCTCTCTTGAAAGAGGACTTTGTTTTCGCTGTCCCTCGTCCACGCTGAGAGCGGCTCCACCATGTTCTCGTGGTCTTCAAACGTCCGCTCTGCAAAAAGAAAAGTTAAAGACTAAACCAACAGGATTAAAAGACTCTTTATGTTTATACACAAAACAATATTTCAGACGAGTGCAACATAATTATTCTTTTTAAATGGATGCAATCTGACGTATTTCATTAGAAAACCACATTTTTTTTGTGTCCAAAAAGCTTCAAACTTCTATTTTAAAATATACTTTCATTAAAAATTTTACATCGAAAACATATGGCACTGACCATAGTGAAAAAGCATCTTGTTCTTTTTTTGTCCATATACACCCATATTAGAGTTTATTAACAAGAAAATGAGCAGTTAACTTTGAATGTAGTTGATGTTGTGCAGAGTTTTCACATTAAAATGTGATTCTTTGTGACAATAAATCTAACAATTACCAACAAGTACTCTGCAAAGCAATGCAATACATTAATTTTAACGAGCACCTTAAATGTCTTAAGTTCTGAATGATTTGCAACATAAAGCAAAAATTAAAACAGGACAAGAGGAAGAGGTGGCAAAAGTTTTAAATAGAGGAAAACTGCGTATTAGACGAGAAAACAAAAGACAGAACCAAAAAGAGTGGAGGAACTAAAGTTGGAATCATTCAAGTAAAATTGTATCTTTATATAGGAACTCACCCAAACTTACGGTAAATACTTCAATATGTTACAATTAAATTTGCTTGCTGCAATATTTGGTCAAATCAGTATCTACTGTTTAGTTGCTGACATGTCAGCGGTTTGTGATTAAAAAGGTAAAACTCCTGCAAGCTTTGGAACAAACAGAGTGGTGTGATGAATAGCTTGCATCCAGGGTACGTGTCAGTTCCTAACAGGAAGCTGAGCATCTGAAGCTGAAGTTACAGCAGTTCTCTTTTTGCTCTGACTCCACAGGCAGCAACCTTAATGATCAGGTTTTTAACCTGCAGTAACACAAACACTGCTGTTGTATTTATTTCTGATAAGAGAAGTGTGGGGTTTGAATGTAAATGCACTCAGACTTACAAACAAGTGAACTTTCTTTGCAGTAAATTCAACTCATTGATGCATCACTGGTTGAAATTCAGATGTCACCAGTTCACATTTAAGTTAGCGGTAGTTCAAGTTATGTTTATTTGTCATATGCAGGTTAACACAAGGTTAACAGTATGATGAAATGCTCAGGATGACAAGAACCAAGTCAACTAGCTAAACAAACAAACAAACAAACAAGAAATACTAAAGCATGCAGTAAGGGTACAAAATAAAGAACCAAAACGTGAAAATATATATATAATATTTACAAGGTCCTAAAGAGAAAATAGTAAACAACAACATGGTAGAATATAACAGTGCAAGTATAGGATTAATTTATATGAATAAGTATTTCAAGGTAGTAATATAAGCTAAAATGAACATTCTATCTATCTATCTATCTATCTATCTATCTATCTATCTATCTATCTATCTATCTATCTATCTATCTATCTATCTATCTATCTATCTATCTATCTATCTATCTATCTATCTATCTATCTATCTATCTATCTATCTATCTATCTATCTAT